ACCCCATGGAAAAAGGGAGTTCCTTGGGACAGGGACACAGGGATGCCTGAAGGGCTGGGGGTGGGATGGGGGGACTGGGCACTGAGTGCGGGACCAGGAAGAGGAGCGTAGCGGAAGGGAGACTGCTCCCTGCTGCTCAGGGAGGGGACGTGGGCCAGGTAGCTCCCAGGGGACCTCAGGGGTGTCCCTGCTGGTGTGACATGTGGGGCTTAAAGCCTCAATCCCTGACTTTTTGGAACTGGCAAATACCATCTCAGGCTCTGTCTAGGCTCCTAGAAGGGCTCAAACACCAGCAGCCCCCAAACTTAGCTCAGGCTCTTCCTTAATCCAGGGCTGACACCAAACACGCCAGGCTAGCACGCTATGTCCCCAAATGTCAGCTTTAACCAGCTTTAGCTGCATGCAGCACTGCAAACGGGCTGCTGGCTCAAGGCAGTGCATGAGGGGACACAGGTGGGTGACATGGACCTTTGTCACTGCTGCAAGGACCCAGCCCCACAGCAGCTGTGCAGCATCCACCTCCCTGCTCCCCAGCCAACTGCTGCTCTGCTGGGGCTTTAAAGGGGGAGCGCAGGGGTGTGGGCCCCTCCCTGTAAAGCTCTGTGGGCAGGGGGGAAGGCAGCTGGGCTCTGCAGTGTCCCTGGAGAGGCTGCTCCAGCAAAGTGGGTGCCTGCTGCGGGGTGACTGCCCGGCAAGGGTGGGAGCAGGGCAGGGTGTCCCTGCACTGGGGACAGAGTCAGGGATGCTGGGCACAGTACTGGGCTTACAGCTGGCAGGGCTTCCAGCGCAGAGAGCAGCCCACTCCTGGGGATGCACAGAGTGCTCTGCACAGTGGGGATGGGCTGAAAGCATTGGGCAGAGCTCTGAGTGCTCTGTAAGTGAGCAGAGCCCCACTCACAACGAGCTTTCACAGGAGAGGGATAGATAATAGCAGGTGAGAGAGGTGTGGAGAAAGCAGGCGTGTACCTCCTGTAGCCCATTTGCTCGCAGGCAGCTTTTGCCAGCAGCGGGTTGAAGTGTTCGTAGCAGACGCAGGACCAGGCTCCGGTGTTTCTGTCGAGCACCTGCAGGATGGATCTGTCTTTGGAAACGCGGGCTGGGGACAGGCACAAAGTCAGCTTTGTCGCAGGTGACTTCAGCAGGTGGAGGCTTGCCGTAACAGCCCAGCCCCTGCGGAGCTCGAGTGGGGTGTCCCGGACTCACCGCCGGCTGGTGGCCCCTTGGGGACCCACTGGGGACAGTTGTCCTCGTCCTCGCCCTGCAGACAGTCCTCCTGCCCGTCACACACCTGCTGCAGTGGCACCAGCTTGAGGGGCTGTTTGCAGAAGAAGTAGTGGTAGTCCAGGTAAACCTTGACTGGGGGGAGAGGGGGAGCTCAGCGCCGAGCCCCTCTGCGGGGCAGGCTCTGGGGAGCTTAGCAAGAGCTGGTCCTGGTGGCCCTGGGTCCAGAGCCCTGTGCCCAGCAGTGGCAGGAGGAGGGGGAGAGAAGAACAGGAGCCACCCCCAGGAACCCGATCGTCACCAGGCAGGCGAGGCTGAGCACTGCTGCCAGGACAGGGATGCCGATCTGCTTGAAAGACTCCAGCGTTGTGGAGGCTCTGTGTCTCATGCTGGGACCTGCAACACATTGGAGCGTGGCCCTGTGTCGCCAGCCCACAGCCATCAGCTGCCGTGCCCCCCGCTCCCGTGCCCCCAGCTCCCGCGGGCGTTACCTCTGCCATTCAGCTGCTCGGAGGCTGAATCCTGCAGACCAGAGGGGAAAACCGGTTACCGAGCTGAAACCTCAGCCAAAAAAGCAGTTGGCAGGTGGGAAGGGTCTGTAGCAGCGTGGCTTGCTGGCCCCGCGGCAATTCCCACGCCAAGCACACAACTAATGTGATCAGCCCCCCAGGGAGGGCAGCCCGAGAACCGCGGGGGGTCGGCTAAGGTGGGGCGGGCACAGGGGCTGCTGTCCCTTCGGCGAGCTCCATGCCCACCGGGATGGTTAGCAGGGACACTGCCCCAACCTACAGCTGAAGCTGCTTGGAAGCTGCTGGGGATGGAGGCTGCGGTGGGGGGGTGGCACGTCCTGGTGCAACAACACGTGGCTCCGCTGTCACCCGGGGTCACCGGCTGTGGTGTTCCCATGGGTGCTCCCTGTGCAATTCCAATAACGGGCTATTAACGCTAGAGAGTTACTGCTTTTGGTGCACCAGAGGCTTAAAAAGCTGCAGGTGTTGCGAAAGAGGCACTTTCTGATGTGCCAGGAAACCCTGAGTCAAAATACACACGCCTGCGGCGCTGTGCCACCCAGACATGTCACCATAGGGGTTACATTGTTCGGCTGGCCCAGTGTGGGGTCAGAAACTGCGTGGCACAGCCCAAGTCCTCCCCAACAGGCTGCTGGAGAAACCAGCCTGGCCCAGGGGAACAAGGGCTCTCGGGGCGGGGAGGGCGGGCTCTGTCGCTGCTAGGACACAAGCAAACACAGCCCCAGCAGCAGTCAGCGCTGCAACAAGGGATGGATAACGCACTGATCCCGCTTGATCTCTTTAGAGTTGTTTTCCTGTAATAGCTTCTCGTATGCGAGATGCCCAACCGCAGCAGGAAAGGTCCTGGGAGCTGCAGCAGGCGTTGCTGAAGGAGCTGCCCCGTCCTCGGAGGGTGGGTTGGTGCTGGGCAGGGATCAGAGCCCCTTTGGGGGGGTTCGGGTGGATGCTGTACGTTCCTGTTGCCCTGTTTTGCAGCCCTGCTTGTGCCACGATGTCAAGAGCTGCTTCCTGGGAGTCAGTGGTTTGAAAGCGTGCTCCTGCCCTGCTGAGGCTGTGGGAAGCAGCGCACTTGCCTTCCCCTTGAACAGCCCCAAGAGCTCTTTTCCTCTGCTGCTGCTCTGGACTCTGCCGCGACAGGTAAGACAAGCTTTTTGCAGGGCTTGTGCCCAGCATGGACAGAGGTGAGGAAGATTAAAAACACTGCACCAAACCCACAGCTGCATGAGCACGATCCAGGAGAGTCTGGGGTTTAGACGTGGCTCAATTTGCTGACGTGGCTGCTGAGCTTCGGGAGCAATCGCTTTTCTCTGGGCAGCCTGGGGCTGGAGATGGTTGCACCCGTTGTCTGGGATGAGAGCAGAGGTCCCTGGGCAATCGCAGGGCTTGGAGGCTGGGCTTTGAGGAACAGCGACGCAGTGAGAGCAGGGATGCGGTCAGGCTGGAAAGGGGCCGTGCTGCAGCCCGGGGCTGGCAGGAGGAGCGGTGCAGCCCTCCCTCCCCGGGTCCCTGCGTTTGGGCATGTTTAGCCGTGCACAGAGACCCGACCAGCAGGATTTTACAGGAAAGCGCCAGGCGGTGATTTGTGGGTTAACGCACACAGATAGCTTGGATTTCATGTGCTGCTAGCTCAGCCGCCCCATCACAGCTCGGGCTGCCGGTTTGGGCAGCTCCCCAGCCTGGGAACAAGAGGTGACCTGTGCAGGGGAGGACCGGCTCCTGCCTGCTGCTGGTGGGCATGTGGCTGTGCCCCAGCATGTCACCGCCTGGCTCTTCTGAGGAAATGCCAGGGGCCTTTCTGCAAACAGCCGGGCTCGTCTGGCACCGATGCCGAGTGTGGGCAAGCTGTGGCGAGCGCCCAGCCCTTGGATGGGCTCTGCACAGCCCCTTGGGTCTTTTGGGCTCTTGAGCCAGGGGATCCCAGCTCCTGGGGGCACGGAGAAGAGAAGGGAAGCATGTCTCCTGCACCTTCCATCTCGGCTGCCCTTCCCCAGCCGCTTCTCTGCGGCGCCTGGTACTCGCAGGAGCCCTGGCAGCTCCGTAATCCCGCTCCCAAACCCGCCCATGTCCTGCAGTGCAGCCAGCCGAGGGCACGTGGGGCCGGTCCTTCCTCGTGCTGACCTCTTGTGTCACCGTGGGCCTGGGCTGGGCATGACCCGGCTAATGGGATCCTAACGGTTCCCTGTGGGAACAGTCCCAGGGCACCAGCCACGGTGGCTCCTCCAGGCTCAACGCCACGGCTGAGGGGCACGGGGGGGGCAGGGCTGCCCCTGCCTGCCCACGAGCTGCCCGTACTTGTGCCCATCACGTCGCCCGGTATTGGGCTCCTTCCTTTCTGACAGCCCTGCGCAGGTCTGCTGTGGATGCAATGGGAGGGATGATGCTGTGGCGCTGGCCACCTTCCCACCTAGGGAAGGTATTGCCCATCGTTGTGGATTTTTTGTGCATTTTCTTCCGTCCACGAACCTCTTCCGTTTCAAAGAGGTTCACAGCTTGCAGGTGCCCCAGGGGCTGCCTCTCCATGACTCCCCAGTTGCTCTCAGAGCCACACCACGAACAAGAGCTGCACTGGTTAAACGCGAAGCAAGGTGAGAGCAGTGCCAGCTCCTGCATGGAGTGGCAGCACATGATTTCCTGGAGACCTCAAGGCTGCCGTGACTAATTGAGCTCCCTTGCCGTGTTCTCTGGAAGCACGTTAATGCCACTATGGGCAGCTTGCCCTCCAGCTGTGCAAATGCCAGCCCGCGAGCCGTGGGCTCCCCATGAGCTTCTGCACCCCCACCACCGGAGCAGCCTTTTGCTCTCTGCAGCGGGCAGCCGAGGCACGGTGTGCAGTGTGAGCTGTGCCGGCTGCTCCCGACCGAGGGAAGGTGGGATGTTCCTGGCAAACCCCAGCTTCAGGGAGTGTGGGGTGCTCAGATTCGGGGCTCACTCCTCAGCTGCAGGGGATTTAACCTGGGGGCGTGTGCAGCTGTTGTCCCTGTGCTGGGGAGTGAGGTCCCCACCCTGGAGGGGATAACGTCCCGGTGTGCTGCTGGTGGAGGGTTTTACGGTGCTCGGTGAGCTGGGCTGTGCATGGCTGCCCTCCATTAAGGAAGCATTTTCCCCCTCGGGAGGGACTGCATGCCAGGCTGGGGTTTGGTGGCCATGTCTTTGCTCGCAGAAGGCACTGCAGGGAGCCAAGCCGAGCATGTCCCTTGAGCTGTGCACAGGGACAGGGGTGCTGGGCTTTTGCCCAGGCATCACCTAAGAACCAGCCCCTTCTCGGAGAGGACGAGATGCTCCAGAAGGGCACGTTCCCCTTGGCAAGCAGACTTGCGAGATACACTGCCTGGCTTGTCT